AAAATTTATAAATTTTTTTATAAATATATTTATCATCAATTTGGATATATTCATCATCAATTTGAATAGTACTGATTAAATTTGGATGGTTCAATTTAATATTATAATTTTTATAAATTAATTATCTAGATGCATTTTGAATAGTTCAGATTTAACATTGAATTTTTATCTGCAAGGCCTAGATTTAAAGTTTTTATTTTTATTTTATATTAATTAAAATAAGAACTTATTAAAAAATTTAATATTGAATCTGTCTTGTCCAGAATATATCGAGATAGTCAGTTTATGAAAATTATAATATTAAATTGAATCACTTAAAATCTCAAATTGAATTAGTACTGGTCAAATTGATGATGAATATATTTATCAAAAAATTATAAATTTTATTTTTATAAAATTAAAATTGAAATTAAAATTGAAAAAATCTAGATCTCATGATGAGCACGGCTTGCTGAGCACTGAAACCAGACTCAATCGAGTCCAAAGCTCATAATCAACGCACCAAAAATCAGAGCTACTACCAGTTTAGATGATGATGGTTTCATGAAGCTTGTCCACAAGACAGAAAGCGGACCTGACATAGTGCTATGGAACAGTTTTGATCACCCAAGCGGTAACGTTATCATCAACGGCATGAAACTGGGATTTGACAGAGTCACGGGGAAGAGATGGAACATGACGTCACGGGCATCACCACAAAACCCAACTTCAGGTTCGTTTGCTTTATGAATGGACGTGGACTCCAACAATGCTCTGATTAGTTATATGGTGGTGAGGAAGTGTGCACTGGAGTGCCAAGATGACGCAGTACAAGATCGGTGCACCGGATACAGAGGGAGTTCGCCACCATGTGAGATATTTAAATCTCCAATTTATTAACATGACAAATGAAACAGAAAGCAATTTCTTTCACTCGGGAGCGATGGTCGACAATGAAGTTAGTTTTTTTGGTTTAAGTCCAAGGGGTAAAATTTATGGGGCACTGTCAGTGGCATACAACATCGAGAACCCAGAACTTGTTACAGAATGTAACCCTCCCAGGCCTCCAGGTTGCAGACAGTCTGATGCTTACGTGTGCTTTGCCAACAATCGAAGTGGTAATATGTCTCAACAAAGGTTCAAGATTGAGACCACTGAGACTCTGTCTTTGTATGATTAGTGGAGTCAAATATTTGATGAATTGCTCTTGCGTCTTTTATTTTTCTTCAAACGAGGATGGTATTGGGTATCGGATGTGGGATGACATATCATCTGATGACTTTAAAGAATCTCCAGATGGGCGTCAATTTTATTTCATTCAAGACAAATGCTAAGGCAATCCTGGAGTGAAAAACGAGAGTAAGTCTGTCTCCCTCACTCGATTTTTTTAACGAAATATTGATGAAGATTTGTTTTGTCCAATGTAGAAGAATCTCAAAACATGCCGTTGATAATTGGTGTGGTTGGTGGATCTCTCTTGATCATTAGTTTGTCATCTTACATATGCTATTTATTTCTAAAAAAGCATAGATTAGAAGGTAATTAGTATCTTGTTCAATATTATTTAGAAAGTGATGTCTTTAATTTTCATACTACATAGTTTGGTAAGATCCAATCCAACTAGTTTTGACTTTTCTTACACGCATGCTCGATCAGTCATGAGTAGTGGCAAAGAGATTGAAATGGACCAAGTTATTGCATGAAATTGGAATTGCAATACCCTTCGCTACTGTAAACAGCAAATGGAAATTCGATAAAAGCAATAAAACAGGCCATGAGATCCATATATTCAGCTATGAAAGCATTGCCCCCGCAACAGGTAACTTCTTGTCCACAAATAATTTAGGTGAGGGTGGCTTTGGACCTGTCTTCAAGGTAATAGCTAATTATTTTTTACTGCGTTAAATGGATGTGCGTGTGTGTGTGTGTGTGTGTGTGTGTGTGTGTGTGTGTGAAAGTGGAATATAATACAATGAAAGGAAATGCAGAGTAGAGGAAAGAACACTCAAGACCAATGCTTTTAATTTATTTATCATCTCTGACCTCAATCCATTTTCACTTCAAGTGTATTGAGAGAATAGTTATTATTTGACACAAACATATTTTTCATGAAAAATTGTTGGATGGACAAGAAATAGCTGTAAAAAGACTTTATAAATGTTCAAGACAAGGCGTATCAAAATTTTCTGTAAAAAGACTTTATAAATGTTCAAGATAAGGCATATCAAAATTTAATAATGATTGATTGTCAAACTTTAACACACTAACTTGATAAGACTTCTTGGATTTTGCATGGAAGGAGAAGAGAAGATGTTGATCTATGAATATATGCCAAGTAAAAGTTTGGGTTTCTATCTTTTTGTTATGCAATATAATTATCTACCTTCATATTCTAATTATGCTTTTCTATTGAGACGGATATGCCATAACGTGTTCATCTGTCAATCATCATGTATATTGTAACGCATAATATTTGTCACTGTTGATCTACAGTTCTTTCAACAATGACAGTGAGCCCAGTTTATTCTTTTTTTTTTCATTTATTATCAAGTAGAAAGATAAAAAAACATGGGGGAGAAATAGGAAATTGTGTAAAAATAAAATAATTTGTTAATGGTTTGATCAATTTTGTATTTAATACCGAAAACTAATATTGTTAAGGTAAAATTAATGGTTTGATCACTTTTACACTCACTCATATAATGTTATAGGTATTTATACCCCCTTCTTCACTTTATGATAATAGGTGCCCTTGGCCGACTACTTTTTATATAGATTTGACCTTTAATCCTAAATTTTAATGACTTAAATTTTAGAAAAACAGAGAATTATGGCTAAGAAATTTTATATCATATTTATTCATTCTTAAAAAACTTGAATTCATTAAAATCTTCCCCTTTTTTAATTTTTTTAAACAAAAAAGGGTTTAAAAATCCCGTGCATCGCAAATGGGGCATAAAATCTAGTTACTTTGGTACATAGATTCCAATAATAAGGCTTTATTGGATTGGAAGAGGAGCCTTAATATTATTAAAGGTATAGCTCAAGGACTTGTTTATTTGTATAAATATTCAAAATTAAAAGTGTTTCGTCATAGCCAAGCAATATTTTACTTGATCAAGAAATGTGTCAAAAAATATCTTCTTTTGGGGGTTGAGGGAAAATACCAAGAAAATATCGTAGATAAGCTTAATGGAAGTGATCCACGACACATGGTCATGTATCCGGCGATCGCAGTGATGTATCACGTAGGCGTTTGCCTCATCTGTTCCTCATTTTTCTTGTTTAAAACTCACAATTTCAGGCCTAATTTTGTGGCATTGATGCATCGGCACTTCAGGATTAACACGCGACGATGTTTTGGACTCATCGAAAGATTATTACGAGCTTAAGCTCTTCACTTGTTATGAGCAGTACTACTTGGGAATCAGTAGACCAGCATATTTCATCTGGATTATTGCCAACCGATACGACCCCCTTGATTCTCACCCGTGTCCAAAACTCATAACTGATGGTTAAGGTAACATGAGAATTCAAGAATTGCATAAAACGGAGATCCTGGCTTTATATCCTATACTCTTCCCCGGCTTCAAACGTACAAAAAATTAATGCTAGATGGTGATGGTTTCTTGCGACTTTTCCAAAAGAATGAAAGTGGGACTAGCACAATTCTCCTTGAAGGGATGGGATTGCGATATGACAAAGGAAACAAGGCAGAGACGAAACTCGACATCATGGGCAACTAAATTCAACCTTGCTTTGGGTTCATTTACTTTAGGATTGGATTTGAACTCCCAGTCACAATAACACTATACAATTGGTAATATTGTGGCGAGTGTGCTCTGGAGTACGTGGGGAATCGAAGCGCTGACATGATATTAATAGGTCATCTGAAGCAGAGGGAGATTGCCACTATGTATCTCTGGTGTTAAAGGTGATCTGATTAAATTGTTAAACGTTTTTTAATGAAAAACGTAACTATATGAAAAAAAAAACAGAAACAGAAGAAACTTCACATCAAACCCATATTAGATCTAATGTTCCTTTCTTCATCGTCCATCCCCTAATATAAGATAGTGGATGAATACAGGTACAAAAATTTCTGTCTGGAATGAGCAAGCTTGGCAAGTTTATCAGAACATTTTATAAAATCTCTATGCAAAAAATTAAACTGAATCTTCCTGTTCCTAACTTTGCCGGTATTTTAAGGTGATGGTGAAAAAAGGAAGAACAAAAACTTACCCACAATGATTAATTTTGGTCTTGAGTAGTCTGCCAATTTGCAGAAAGTGGGCTTTTAGGTTTTTGGGCCTGTTTGTGTGATGTTTTGATTCTTGGCCCTCGTCAATAGCTTTGTGGGGATTGTGTTGGGCTCAACAATTCAAAGCGGGGGTTGTTTTGATTTTGAAACCATTGAAGATTATTGCAATTAATCAATAAAGGTTTCAAATCATATAAGCCACCTGGGGAAGAATTTTAAGATTCCATATTTATAAAAAGACGTTCTGTTGACGGATGACTGTATGAAATATCTGAGTTAAAGATTTCCTCTCTTGAGGATTAAAGAAATCATGCAGGGTTGTCTTGTCATTCTTAAGAGTTGGTAAAATACTATTCAAATTTTAAAAAAAATAAAAGGATTTTCACTTAGGCACTAGTCATTTCTTGCTGAATAGTTGGAATATTTTTAAAATGAAAAGATATCTTTTATATGAATTTTAATAAATTAAGGAATTTCTATAAAAGATTATATAAAAAGAGTTATAACACTAACAATCGCCAAAGTCATGTATCTCTAATTCTTAAAAGTAAAGATTATAAAACTAAAAACTATAGTAACCACCACTTGACGAAAAGAAATATTAGTTGAAGAAAACTCAGGATTCTTACAACTAAAAGTGATAAGATGCATGCCACAAGCGCGAAAGGCTACAATTTCAACGCATGCTCACAAAGCTTATATATAAAAGATCTCTGCTAAAAGTAGAATTAGACAACTTATTAAGCATCCCTCAACTTAATTATCTACCGTCTAAATTACTGGACATTGTTAAGCAACTTTTGGAATAAAGTTCTTGCTTGCTGCTGGATAACTCGAACTCTTCCTCTACCACATTGCCAAAAAAAGCTGGCTGCTTTGGTTGGACAAGTTGAATAGTATCATTTGATAGAAACGAAATTACATCTACCATGGAAGGTCTGTCTATTGCTTGATCTTGAACGCACAAGAGACCAGTATGAATACCTCTAAGCACTTTCTTTTGAGCACTTGGTTCATTTAATGATGACTCTATTAGCTCTAAAGTTCTACCTTCATTCCAAAGCCGCCATGCCTGTAACAATTCCATTATCCTCCAAAAGTTTAACTAATAATTTATTAGAATACATTATGCAATGAATTTAATTTGTCGAATAGATTTTGGATAAACTTACATATCCTGTGAGATTGAGAGAATGATCTAAATCATAACAGCTATTGTTCTTCTTGCCACTAAGAATTTCAAGTAGAAGAACACCAAAACTAAACACGTCTATCTTGTTTGAAACAATACCATTCATTGCATATTCCGGAGCCATATAACCACTTAAAGCAACATGAAAAATAAATGTTAGAATCTTAACTCAATCAGACTTAATCAAAAAGTCAACAAAAAATAACTGAAAATAAATGGGTTATTTATATGTATTATACTTACTATGTGCTAACTATTCTGTTTGTGCTTTCTTCATATCCTTTTGGCCCAAATATTCGAGCCATGCCAAAGTCAAATATTTTAGGATTCATTTCTTCATCGAGTAAAATATTTCCTGCCTTCAAGTCACGATGCACCACTTTGAGTCTTGAATATTTATGTAAATAAAGAAGTCCTTGGGCAACTCCTTCTATAATGGCAAATCGTTTCCCCCAATCTAGTACACGCTGTTTGATTTCATCTGTTTTAGGGTAAATATACTTATTAGAACGCTTAACACTCACAGGTTCATATTTTTCTTCAAAAGAAAGGATGACTTACCAAATAGGTAATAGTCTAAGCTCTTGTTGGACATGTATTCATAGACCAATATTCTTTCATCTCTTTGGATGCAGAACCCCAAAAGCCTTACAAGATTAGTATGCTGAAGTTTGGCCATAAGTTTAGCCTCATTTTTAAATTCTGTTAGCCCTTGTCCAGAACTTTGAGAAAGTCGCTTTATTGCAACCTCTTGTCCATCAGTAAGTGTTCCCTGAAAGCAATGTTGCGAAATCTTGTTATATATATCCAGATAGTTTCAAGTCTCAATTCACAAAAGTGAAATATATTATTACCTTGTAAACGGGACCAAAACCACCCTCTCCTATCTTGTTTGAAACTGAGAAGTTGTTTGTGGCAGCTACAATGCTCTCAAAACTGAATATTTCAACCTCATTATTATTGCTTGCCCTTCGATATTTATGATTCCTTTTGGCTTTGCCTTGCACCATGTAAATCATTGCGCTGCCTCCAATGTCATGTAATATCTTCCTTTGCTTTATATTCCCGAGCACTAGTCATGTGACATGAAAATATAAGTGATATAGAGGAAGTAATAAACTCAGTAGAATTTGTGTGTGTGTGTGTTATTATATTGTAAGGTAGATATTACCTTCTGCTTTGTGTTTTCTCCGTAAGGATAAGTAACAGATCAGAGATAATGTTATGCTTGATCCCAACCCGATGATTAGCCATATCCACCACCTATCTCCTACAGTTCACAAGAATATGATTTTAGCCAATATTCTGCTCATGAATATTCTGTCTACCATTCAGCATGAGTTTTATTTGTTGTCGCTCATGAAAACTGTGTTTTCCCAATTCTATTTAATATTTTATTTCAAATCTACAGGCTATGTTAGTTGAAGTCAAGATTAAAAAATGATTGATAGGCCAGATTTCCTGGTAGGAGATGTTGGAGTTGGGAAGATAATCAGCTTGTTCAGCCCAAAACAAAAAAGAGGGAGAAGAAAAATTTGGCTGGAGATGACAGATATATATATATATATATATATATTGCATGCAATTATTTCTGATAAATGTCAATTTTATATCGCAAATAATAGTATAATAAAGATTACATTAAAAACTAAAAACGTTCTCCGTGCATTGTATATATATATATATATATATGGAATTTTTACAAAACTAGTTTTTAAAAAAAATTAAAATACAATTTATATAAAGATCGAAATAATTTTGTAGGGACTGCATATATACTATATAAAGTCAGAAAGCAACTTCAAATGTCCTACCAATTCAAAGGCCTTGGTTGAACAGATTTTAGACCCTACGTCGTCAACTAATATTGATTGCAGTTTGGTGTTTCTTCAAATCAGACGGATATTAATTCTAAAGTGACGAGTTCAAGTGTAGTATGTGTGCCTAGGGAGTGCAATATTATTACAGACCGCTTAGCTAAAGTGGGCATAAATGATTCATGTACATATGTCATGACACGATCCCGCTTGAAGGTCCTGTGCAGCGGGATAGCTTGGGATTTCAATCCTACCTTTTTTGGTTTCCTAATCATGGCTTTCCTTGAGCTCAAAACGCAAAATTATAAAAAAGCAGAAAGATAAATAATGCAGGGATAATTTAAAAAAAAAAAAAACAGAGAAAAAGGCTCATATGCATGTAGGATGTAACCCAAGATGTAGCTAGGGAACGGTGATCATCAACAGATAACTTTATCTTGTACCGTTTGAAAAAAAAAAAGAGAGAGAGAGAGCGAGAAAATTAATCCGTAAGCATTTGTAATATGTTTTTAATTTTCAATTAGGTCCTTATAATTTATTTTATTTCAATTGAACTCTTATAGTTGTTAATAAATTTAAATTAAGTTTATGAAGATTAAAATCCATGAATTTTTCTTTTTTAAATATAATTTTATTAAATTATTGTATAACTTTAAAATTAAACATATAATCTTTATAAATTTTATAATTAGGTTATGTCTTCTAAATAAACTTTGTACATATAAATTTTTATAAAAAAATTAAAAAAATATTAACATTGTATTAAATTAAATTTTATTTTTTCTCTTTTTAAGCCAAAAAGTTTTAAATCAAATTTTCTATAAATTTTAAAAGTGTGTTTGTCTTGAAAAAATTTATCATTCATTACTAATTTTAACCTATAAAGATTAACATATCCTAACATATCAAAATATAAGGGTTCCATTCAAACAAAATAAATTATATAAGGGACCTAATTTAAAATCAGTGAAAACTATAAGTACCAACAGATTAATTTGCTTTAAAAAATATACTCCCTCCATTAAAAAATGTAAAGCATTTTTTAAGGAGTTATATATTTAAAAATGTAAGGTATTTTTAGTTTTTTGAGATGTAATCATTATCTTTTTTTCAAAAGTGCCCCTATTAATAATGAATTTATATTTATTATAGAGTGTTTAATAGGGATAAATATAGAAAGATAGGGTTAGTTGAAAAATAATTAACTATTTTATTAGGAGGTAAGATTCGATTAAAAATATCTTACATTTTTTAATTGAGTGAGTATATATTAGGGCAGTACAAGTTGGAAAATTGGACCAATCTTTGTGTCTAACAGCTACAACATAAATTGACTGGCCTTGTGCTCCTGCAGCTTCTTCAGTGAATGTGGCTCCTTCAAGCCATATCTGGCATCCACTACTGTAATTCACTAGTGCATAAGCCACGCACGAACAATTGTTCTTGCATATGGTCTCACAACACGACGACACACCTTCATAAGTCTTTGAATTATCACCGGCCATGTTCCCGACACGTTCTTCAAAGCTCATGTCTTGGTTCCTGCACCTGGAAGCGCTTTGGGGCGTGCACAGAGAACTTCGTTGAATAATGAAGTCACTGTAATTACTTGCTTCGTCATAGCCCCTCGTCCACAACATCACACCACCATAGTTCGGTGACTGCCTTACAATAGGAAGTACATTAGTGATCAACTCGCTAAGAGGAATATAGCCTCCTGTGTCCTGAGTAGCTTTAGATGCTGGCAAATACATCAACACTTTGGACCCACCATCTAATAATGATTCCGTCCATTGGTTCCATGTTTCTAGTAATAAGTGACCATTGCCTTGTGATTCTGAATACTCGCAAGCAGGGTCGTTCTGGAATTGTACGAAGACATAGTCAAAAAGGCCATGTTCTTCAAGGGCAGTGCCACGAAAATTATCAGGAAATCGGCACAGAGGTGATGCAGATAAGAGGACCGTCCGTGTTGAAGTGCTGTGTGACTTCAAGTAAAGAGCAAGGTCCTTCCAGTATGCTGTAGAATAGCGGATATCAAAATTGATGCCGTCCAATATGGCATCTCCAAATGGGCGAGAAGATGAATTTCCTCCCAAGAAAGTGTTCCACAAATAATCAGAAACATTTCGAGCCTTGTCAGCAGAAGATAAGGTCACATTCCAACCGTCTCCAGCAATATAGAGCATCACCTTGATCCCTTGTTGTTGGCAATATTTGATACCTGTGCCAATGGTGGGGCATAATAAAGGAGGGTCACAGATACCTGGGTTGCTGAATTGAGGGCTAAATTCACCCTGGGAGGTCTCGAGGTAGTATATGACCACCTAAGTGTATTTTCCAGTGGCGCATGTTTCTGTAAGATTACTGTTATCATCCGTCAGGCCCCAGTAAACGCCGATTACGTCATCGCCGGCTTCAGAGGAGCTAGTAATTTGAATGAGTGCCAGGAAAGCAAGGAGTATAAAAAGATGAGATAGAAAAATTTTGGTGGCCATCATCATCCTCTGTGCTAATCTCATATGTTCCAGTCTAAACTGATGGCCACTTTGTATTTATAGTTACATTAATTGACGCATACAAGTCAACAACGCATTTAGACGCAGTAAGCCAATGACCGCACAAACACGTTTTTCTTCAGAAAAGTCTTCAACTACCTTATTATTAGAGACACACTAATTAAATTACTTTTGGCTGTATTGAATTTTATAAATTTAATAAATATGTGGGCTTTAGTACTATCAATTATTTAATTAAAATATCTAATGTTTGTTTAAGCAATTTGAATTATTTTAATATCAGGTTCAAAACAGATCGAGCTATATATTTAATTTTGGTGATCATCTTGCTATATGTGCCAATATGATATGTTCCCTTTCACTTTAATCCATGGCCTCTTGGATTCACTACTATGTTTAGTCATATATACGCACACAATACAACTCAAGAACACAAGGTCACACTGTTAAGAATACTCATTCTTTTTTTATTTATAAAAAAAATGATCACTTTTAGCTTGTTTTTTTACATCAGTAAAATCATATCTTTCACTAAGTATTTATTATAAATTTTTTAAATTATTCCTCATAATTTTATCATTCATAGTCATAATAAACAATTAATAAAGAATTAATTAACATAATTAATGAAGATTGTTATAGTTCAATTCTTTTATTTTCAGATACAATTAATATAATTAATTAATTTTTTTTAAATTATGTGTTATAACTTTTTTGTTACAAAATAGAAACGGAGGGAATATAAAGAAGAGAATATTAATGACAAAGATGATGAAAACCTTACATTAACCTACCCAACTAAGATGATTTACAAACCCTACCTTTAATGTGAAACAATGAGGTGGACCCTTTGTTAACAGTAACGGACCCACAGGGGGGCGAGGAGGGGTTCTTGTGGCCCGTGCATCATTGGTCCTTTGGTAAAAATTATTCTTTTTACTTGTAAAATAGTTTAAATTAGATTTTAGCCCCCATTCTTCATTTTATTTTCAGTGTGACCCTCCCAATCACCAAGCTCTAGCTCCGTCCTTGTTTGTTAACCCCTCTTAAAGGTGAGATACAGCTCCCTTACGTAATTGCTTAACCCTTATCTTAACAACTAATTAACCGTGATTAACAACTAATATTCCAATACACACGGCCTGGAGTGGATCCCAGCACTGACGCATTTTTCCCGTAGATAAGTCTAATTCATTTAATATAACAGCCATGTCTCAATCATTAACCAACGTTATAAACGGGGTACCGAAACTTCTCAAGTATTGTTTTTGGTCCACATACAGCAACCTACTTTGTTTCTCAAATTTATAATTTTTTTTCTAAATTATATTCCATCAATGGGGCAGTTCTAATATAAATAATTAAAAGGAGTATTTTAATGAAATTAATACACATTTTTTTCGTACAATCACTCACATAATTTTCTTGATATATCTAAATTAGTTGTATAACTTTTGTATTATTTAACTTCTGCAATATAATTAAGACCAGATCAACTATTAAAGAAAAATACAAGTAAAAAACGTGTACTACTCTTGCAGTCAATCACTCCAACTGATTTTTCATCGGTTTCACGAATACCGATGAAAAAATCAACTCAAATCCTGAATATATTCAATTGATCTCCCTTAATTCCTCTCATTAGTTACCAATTAATTATAAATTATATAAACAAATAGAGAAGGAATGAGAGAGAAAAGCAGAAGAACTGAGAACATAAATAGTAAGCAACTTAGCAATATTATTATATTGTGTAATAAAGCACTGAGCGACGTCCATCAACGAAAAAAGAAAAGTCCAATTAAACAAATATTCAAAACTATGCATTAAATAGTAAGAAGAAAGGGTCATGAGAACATTGGATTGGTCGAGAGGAGAACCACGAGGCTGATTCTCTTGCTAAGCGTTCTTTGGTGGAAGCTCCTGGAATCTATCAGTTAGCACCCTTGGTGCCCCATTTCCTAGATTATCTTAGACCGTCTAAAGCTTTAGCTTTCTTGTTTTTAGTTTCTTTTCCTCGCTTTCTTTTGTATCAAAAAAGGAAAGGGTCATGCGAACATGCGTGTGCTTGAGAAATACAGGAGAAAGCTGAGAGAGAGACATGAATAAATTAAACCAATTCATATGATAATTTTGGCAGCAGGTGAAGACTAAAAGACTTTACCTAGTCTTAATAACTTGCTTCAACCAAGGAATTAATCAGTAAGGTTAATCCATTCTAACTTTATTGGCATTAATTCTATATAAAAATGTGTGTGTGTATGTGTGTGAGAGAGAGAGAGAGAGAGAGTTGAAAAGAACCAATTAGATTTTTCCAAGGTTTAAATAATAGGACATTGAATCAAATCAAGTATGCTTAAGGGTTAATGGTCAAAAATTAATTTAATATTTTTAAATAATATTTATACAAATGTAAACCATAAATTAAATTTATTCATAATCATAGAACTATTTTAAATGAAAAATATTCATTTAAAGACAAAGAAAAATTAAAGCAAGAAAAAGAAAAGAGATAAGGAAAATGTGTTTTTGATTTCAAAACATAAAAGCAAAAATACTATACACTATCAGAATTTTTATCAAAATTATTCATTGATGCCATGGCACTAGATGAAAATGTAGAAAATGCACGGTTTCCTTTTCTATGTGAAAAGACCTTACAAAACTCATTTTTTTAGACTTGAGGAGCAATCTTTCAACTGCAACTGGAGAAAACCCTAAGAGAGCAAGAGGGAGAATTTTGAAGCTTGGGATCAAAAAGAAATAAAGCAAACCTTCATTCTACCTCATTTATCAATGTTTTCTCTTCTTTTTCTCTATGCTGATGGATTCAAACTTTATCTTTGATGTTACAGTATTTATATCAATTACGCGTAACTAAATCTTATTGTTTTAAAGGGCTATAAACCTATTTGTGTAAATAACTTTTGATCTACTATTTAGTTGTTGAGAAATAAAATTTTGATTACTTGTTCTCGAGACATCTTGTCCTTGTTTAGTGTTTGACCACCACTGGGTGAGATTTAGGTATTTGGATTAAACCTTAGAAGAGAAAACTCAAATTGAACTTCGAGAACTAGTAGCCTAAAATTAGTTTAGCTAATTTGCTATTAGAACATGAATGTATCTAAAGGACCTAGATAATCCTCATGGGTTAAAATATCTAATGTAATTAATTAATTAAGGTAATATTTTTCTTTAATTGAATTAATTAGGTCCTTAGTAATTGAAAGATATTTTAAATTAATCTAGATTTTTAAATTATCAAAATTGAGTTTCCAGGCAATTAATATGGTAATGAAAGGGTTAAGAGGCAAATAAAGGATTAGAACTCTAGAACGCTCTTCTCTTGATTGATTTTAGTTTCTTTGTGAATTGAAAGTTATTTTAATTGATCATTTTTTATATTTTTCTTTTAATTGTTTTAAAATTAATCTAAAGTTTTATTAGCTTAACATAATTGAATTTAAAAATTTGATGTTTAGTCACCATTTTAATTAATTCTCTGAGACATCAACCTTAATTTACCTTTAGCTTCAATTGCGATTCGTACATTTATAATGTCTCTTAATTTTTGTGGGTATCAGGTTCATATTTTCTTGAATGTGGAGTTGTACAGGTTAGGCTCATTTTTTTTCAATCATAAAGCAAGCGCTCCCTAATCTGATACATATTCTGTTACGTTTAAATCGATGCCGCCTTGTTTTAAATTTAATTCCCTTGGTCGCATCGCTTCATGCAAGGCAAGAACTCGTAGTTGATAGGTCTCAGGCCCGCGTTTTCTCTCTTGCTACCTTTCGGCCTTTTTGTTTTTGAAAGCCTTGTTTTCTTTCGGTTCTGAAACAAGATATGAAAGCTATACATTTTAAAGTGATCCAATTATCCGAAGAAAATTTAAGTTTGATGAAATTATTCATCATTTGCAATAATAGCATATCATGATATTATCTCTCAAACAATTTGCCAGGGGTCCTGTGGAGTATTCAAGTGAACTAAAGTTTTGAACGTGGGTCTTCTCCATCTTTTTTTTTTTTTAATTATTTCCTGCCAATTTCTAAATAGACTTTATATTAAATGTGTTAAAGGTCATTCAGGTCATCATTCACCCCCATTAAAATAAAATTTAACTATTATATTCAAATAGGTCTATATATTTAAAAAAAATTAAAAAAAAGGAACTCAATCATAAGAAATCATATAACAAAAAAAGGCAAGCATTTGTTGAGTTTCACAAGGTCAAAGCAATGCAGTAAATTCTCACAACTGAAGTAAAGTTACAAATCGTCAATTATTAAAGAAAATGAAATGCATTAATGTAATGTGCACACAACGGACCAGTTATCTACCATCTAGATTAGAAATTGTCACGTGATTTGTGGAATAGTGTTCTTCCCTGATGATGTTATGTGAATCTGACGCTTCCTCAACATCACCGATAAAATATGCAGGCTGCTTTGGTTGGCCAAGTTGAATATTATCATTTGACAGAAAAGAAATTATATCTAACATGGAGGGTCTGTCTTTTGCTTGATCTTGTACGCACAAGAGGCCAATCTGAATACATCTCTGCACTTTGTTCAGCACACTTGGTTCATTCAATGTTGAGTCTATTAGCTCTAAACCTCTACCTTCATTTCAAAGCTGCCATGCCTAAAAAATCCAAGCATGCACCAAAAGCTTAACAAGCCAGTGATTAGAATAATACACAATGCATTTTAAAAAATAGTAGTCTGAGAAACTCACATATCCTATGAGATTAAGAGGACGATCTAAATCAAATCGACCGTTATTCTTTTTACCACTGAGAATCTCTATTAGCAACACACCAAAACTGAATATGTCTATTTTGATTGAAACAACACCATTAATTGCATACTCTGGAGCCATGTAGCCGCTTAAGTAACAAGAAATCAGATGAATGTTAGACAATCCCAAATCAAGCAAAAGTCACATAGGAAGTGCTGAAAATGAGTGGCAAGTTTATAAACTTACCGTGTGCCAACTACTCTATTTGTGTTTTCTTCAGATTCTCTTAGTCCAAATATTCGAGCCATACCAAAATCAGATATTTTAGGATTCATTTCTTCATCAAGTAATATATTGCTTGCCTTCAAGTCCCGATGTATCACTTTTAGTCTTGAATATTTGTGTAGATAAAGAAGTCCTTGAGCAATTCCTTCAATGATGCTAAAGCGTTTCTCCCAATCTAGTACATTTCTTCTGCTTGCATCTGTCATAATGTAAGATGCTTATTAGAAAGTTTGACTCGCTAAAACATTCATAATTTTGTTGAATATAAAATAAGACATGCCAAATAGATAGAAATCTAAGCTTTTGTTCGACATGTACTCATAAACTAATATTCTTTCATCTCTTTGGATGCAAAACCCCAAAAGCCTCACAAGATTAGTATGCTGCAATTTTGCCATGAGTTTAGCCTCATTCTTGAATTCTGTAAGCCCTTGTCCAGAGCTTTTAGAAAGTCGTTTTATTGCTACTTCCTGCCCATCGGTTAGTGTCCCCTGAAAGTATTATTGAACAAAAGTCATATCCATGTAATTTAAAATTTCAGTTCTTGCACGCGCACGCACGCACATATACACGTTACCTTATATACAGGACCAAAACCACCCTCTCCTAGCTTGTTTGAATCTGAGAAATTGTTTGTGGCAACCACAATGCCCTCGAAACTGAATATTTCAACCTCATTTCTTTCCTTCCCATGTTTCTTGTTCCTTTTAGGTTTGCCATACACCATGGAAATCATTGCATTGCCTCCAATTTCATGTAATATCTTCTCTTGCTTTGTTTTTCTATCCACTGGTAATGTGACATAGAAGTTCAAGTCACCAAGAGCACCTTAACTCAGTACTTTATTTGGATATTATTAATACTATATGGTAGTTACCTTCTGCTTTGTATTTTCTCAATAAGGCATAGCATAAGTAGCAGATCAGAGGTAATGCTAGACTTGCTCCCACTGCAATGATAAGCCATATCCACCACCTGTTTACTACAGTTCACAAAAATATGATTTTCAAGGCACGGATATGATAGTGCCAATTTTAAATGGAGGTTAATACATCTACCATTTAGCTACTACTGTATTAGTAACATATCTTTGATCACGTATCTGAATGTAATAGGCCTTGTTTTTATTTATCTGTTTTTTTCTTACAGGCCTGTAATGACTTTGCTTAGATTTTGAATAAAGTTATCATTTCCCATTCAAAAGAAAAAAGGCAATCAGCATTCTGCAAGGTTTTGCCTTATTTATCTGTTTTTTGTTTCAGCTCATGTACTCTGTTTTGTTAGTGCTATTTAATATTTTATATCAAAATCTAGAAACTACGACAATGGCTGAGAGCTAGATTGATCTATTTTGTATAAGAGTATTCACAAAGACGATATTTTTACGATCCTATTCAACTTCTCTGAGGTGTTTCCTCGGAGCTGGGGACAGAATCAGTTTGTTCGCCAAAAAAAAAAAAAACATATGAAGGAATCAAGAAATAACAGATATGTCATGCAGGTTGCAATTATTTCTTAATGTCAACTTAAAACTGCATATAATAGTATCAAGATTTCTAAGCTATTCCTAATGCATTAAAATGTCAATGTTCGTTGCAAATAAAATCATAATATCATAATTTATAGCCTATTGCACGCCAGGGAACAGGGCATACCTTTGGCTCTAACAATATAAATTGACTGTGCTTTTTCTCCTGCAGCTTCAGTGAACCTGGTTCCTTTAAGCCATATCTGGCATCCAGTATTGTTAACCTGATTCACTGGTGCATAAGCCTCACAAGAACAATTATTCCAGCATATGATCCCACAACACTGCCTACCAAGATTCTCACTTTCGTAAACCTTGATGCTACCAGTGGACATGTAACCAAAACGCTCTATAAAGCCACTGTCATGTTTCCTGCATTTGGGAGTGCTTTGGGGTGTGCAAAGAGGACCAATCTGAAGGTACGTACTGTATCCACTCAATCTATCTTCGTACCTTGACCACAACATTACACCTCCATAGTTAGCTGACTTCCTTACAGCGGGAAGTACCTTAGAGGTTAACAAATCAGCAGGAACATAGCCACTGGCTGCTATTTCCTGAGATGCTGGCAACCCCAGGAATATTTTCGACCCATTTAATGATGTCGCCCATTGGTGCCACGCATTGACAAACGCATCAGTATTGGATTCTGAATAATCGCAGGGAGGGTTGTTGAAGAATTGTACCCAGACATGATCAAAAAGGCCTGTATTAAGGGCAGTCCCAAGATTAGCATCAGGAAATGGGCATTGAGGAGCTGCAGATAGGTACACTTTTTGGCTATCAGTGCTGTGTGACTTAAGGTAACGTGCAAGGTCCTCCAAGTGTGGGGTAGATGACTCTATATCAAAATCTATGCCATCCAATACGGCATCTCCAAGTGGGCGAGAAGATGAGCTTCCACCTAAGAAGTTTCTCCATAAGTAATCAGAAACATTTTGAGCATCCTCAGAGGAAGATAAAGAGTATTTCGCAGATCCTCCTCCAAGAGAGAGCATCACCTTGACTCCTTGTTCTTGACAATATTTGATCTCACTGCCCATGGTGGTGCACCCAGATAAAGAAGGGTCACAGTGATCGGCGAGGTTGAGCCGAGGGGTTTCGCCATTCCCAAACCTCCAAAGGAAGCCAATCACTACAAAAGAGTATTTTCCTGTAGCACACGTTTCTGTAAGATTACCCTCATCACCATTCAGACCCCAGTAAACGGTAATGGCTTCGGATTCGGAAGAGCCAGGTTGATTGAGTTGTGAGAAAAGGAGGAGTAGAAAAATTTTGGTCATCGTCCAGCGGGGTCACTAAGCTAATCTGATATTTAATTTCTCGCGTTTAAATCAATGGCTTCTTGCTTTATACTTTATAGCCACATCGATGCAAACAACATTACAAGACAAGTCAACAGCGCTAGTCTCGCAGACGGGTCCCCCAGGACGCGTTTTCCTCCTGTTTTCTCGTTCATTTTCAGAATACTCTTCTAATTTTATTTATAAATCAAATTTTAAAATATTTATTTAATTTTATTTATAAATTATGATATAATTTTTTAAGTAATATTTAAAAAATAATTTTAAATTATTTTTTATAAAAAAATAATGTGGCATCATTTTTAAAATTTATTATATAAAAATATATTTAAAGATTTACACACTTTTATTTTTTATATTTTTTACATGAAATTAATAACAATAATTTATAAAAATAATTATAACAGTATCAATTTACCGTGTGAAATCCATCTGCCTGCGTCGGTATCTATCTATCCTATCCAGTGAAGTGCGTGGATCCTAAATCGGGCACCCGTAATGTGTTTTGGTCCTTTTGATCGGGTTCCTCCATCATGTTCTCGCAGGTGGTGTGGTTTTGTGATCAATGCGGACATAAGCAGTTCGTTATCTCTTCCGTTGATAGATTAGAATTTAGAATGGCTTTAAATGCTTCGTCTAAAATGCAGGTGTCCATGTTAGAATAGAATGTTAGAACAGCAGATAATAGTCAAGCAATCTATAGCCTAGTAACATAAATTTCAAGTATTTAACTTGTCCTATGCACACACAAAGAGGAAAAAAAAAAAAAACAGAGAGGGATAAGAGGTGATGATTTCAATTAAAAAAAAAAGTTAAATTGTACATTCGATGCTAAAATTTTAATTTAATCATTTAATTTTATAAAATATTTTTCAGTTCTTTGACATAACATTATTAGTTATAAATAATTATTTTTTATGTCAATCATTATTATTTTTAAAAAATAAACATGACATGTCAACACTTAATAATCTTTTATTAATATTTGAAAGTTTAATATAAAAATTTTTTATAATAAAACTAATGATGTTAGAAATAAATGATAGAATATACACTTTATAAAATTAAATGATTAAATAAAATTTTATGTAAAATTAAAGGATTAAAAGTATATTTTGACATTAAAAAGAAAGAGAAAAGTGAAATGATGTAATGACAGCTATGTCCAAAAAAATTATTAGAAGATAAGCAAAAAATGTTAATCCAATCGTTTGTAAATATGAAAATTTAGTTTAAGTTACTATATATGATTCATCAGACTTGTATGGCTCATTTGTATATGTCCACATATTTGCAAAAATTTCAAAATTTTAATATATTTCTGTACAAGTAACTTATGATTTATATTCTTATTTCTAATTCTCCCATAACCTTTTATATAATCCGTTGTTTGATTCATTAATCAATGTGGCACCCCATCAACCACTTGCTCATTTATTTAACCCTTGAATAATTTTCTAAGTCATGTTAGCTCGATATCATTTGTGCGTGTGTATGCAGCCGTTTAATTGAGTATAGTTGGGCTCAAGTTCTCCTTTGCTAATAAAAAAAAGGTTAATTGCTTTCTTGAGTACCCAGCAAATCACCAATGACATGAGACTTTAATTTAAAGTTAATTTTCTAAGTCGCGATTGCAAAAAGCTAGAGGCACGTTGAACACCCCCAGAAACAGGCTAGATCCGCCTTGACATCGATGGGGTTGTCAACTCCATTAAAGCTGCTACTTGTAGTGGAATCGTACGAGATAATAAAGGCAATTGGATTAAAAAATTTTTCAAATACCTCAGTTATCATCCAAGCACAATAGCAGAACTATTAGGCATTTTAGAAAGTCTACAGCTTTGTTGGAATGCCCATTTCGATGAAATCAACGTATACTCTGATTCTGTGGAAGCACTCTCACTTATCCAACATAATTTCCCTGATAACCATCCTCTCTCTGAAATTATCAACAGAGTCAGAATTTTAGTCATAAAAGATTGGATCATTTAACTTCGAACACATGTTTAGGGAAGCAAACAAATGTGCGAACATGCTCGCTCACCTAGCCTCTTGGGATAACCTTGACCTTATTATTTACAATCATCCGCCCTTAGAATGCAGATCCCTTATGGAATCTGACATAACTTGATTTTATTCAACTTTCACACAGTTTTTCCGTGTCCTTGTATTCAAAAAAAAAATAAAGAAAAGGCTAAAATGCATAAAAATTCATAGAATTTTAAGACAATTGTATATAACCTCTCTCACTTTTAAAAGCTTAAAATTAACTCCCTAACATTTAATTTCATTTCTCAAAACCCCCCTATTATTAATTATGTTATTTTTTTTTATGAGGGTTAAAATGCCATTCAATTAAAAAATATTATTAAACAATAATATTATATTGTATAACTGTTTATAACAAATTTTTTATATTTTTTAGATAGTTGAGGCATTGATAATAGTCAAAAGAAATGTTATTATCACCATATAAAATTTTAAATATTTATTTTGTGCTAATTTTTTTTATTTTTTTGTTATCAATGGTGCATAGTTTTTTTAATATTAAAAGATATGGCAATATTTAAAATTTTAAGTATTTCAATTATGTGCATTACATTAATCTAACATAAAAATATAAATAAAAATTTATTTTTTAAAATAATAAAATCATGCACCATTGATAACATAAAAATATGGATAAGACTAATATAAACATAAATATTTAAAATTGTATATAGTGATAATAACATTTTTTTTTATTGTCAATGCATCAACCATCCAAAAACTATAAGAAATTTATTATAAATAGTTATACAATATATTATTTTTGTTTAATAACATTTTTAATTGAATGACATTTTAATTCTCTTAACAATAGAGAATTTTGAAAAACAAAATTAAAAGTTAGAGGGATTGATTTTAAACTTTTAAAGGTGAAGAGAGTTATATGTAATTCTATCAAAATTCAAGAAAGTTTTATGTATTTTAGCCTGAAGAAAACTACAATTACATGTACCAGTAATTGGGCATTTAACTTCGGGAGTTACCCCATTTGCAAGCAAACAAATTAGATATGCCTGTGAATATAGTCCTAACTCAGCAATAAATATATGTAACTCAATGACATTCGGAGTAACAATACCAATCATTATGTTGGTAAAAAAAAAACAATATCAATCAATGCGCAAAATAAAATTCATAATAAATTATTCAATTCACAAGTCCTGATAAATGAAATAAAAAAGAAATAAATGATTATTAAAAAAAAATCATCGCGCCCCGTCTCTTGAAAAGAGAGTAATGGTGATGTTAATGTCTCTTAGGAAGTAGGGACATCACAAGTGTGGTATTGTCATGTGGGTCAAGATTTCACTCTTCGTGTTCGTAAATGGGACATCGATCATTTTTTTGTCCGCGATTCTCTTTCCAATTTGAGCATGTTCGGCTGAAATATCCCATTCTATTTCCTATTAGCCTATGTTACATCATTTCCCAAGTGTTTCTAACCCCAACAAAAGTCAAATACTACTTCCTAATTCAACTCACTTACCCCAAAGTATCACCAAACCTCGATTAGATTTACTTGGTGCTAGAAAAGAAAAAGAGAAAATTGGATGGTACATATCCAGTAACTTTTTCCCCCTTTAGCTCAATTCAGGACAAGTCATAGAACTCCCAAAGGATAGAACCGTAAGTAAATGCTGTCCAGACAATTAAATAAGTACAAGAAGAATTTTAATATTAAAACAAAATTGCCCAAGACACAACCATTCATAGTAGTGCTCCCTAACATGAAGAGTATTATTCCAATCATGCATTAGAAATTATTGCGTTAAGTATTAGCTACAGGACGTGAAAGACGGCTCAAATTTCCATTTGCATACGGTGACCTCATGACAGGCTGCATATTGGTTGGCAAGTAGCAGTGTGGTAGGAGATACCAAAATGACCTCAGGAGTACCGAAGGCTACTCAATCAATTCATTATTGCAGTCCTGGCTCATCGTTCTCTTCCTTCTCAGGATTTTCCTCTTCCTCTTCTTCCTCTTTCTTTTCTTCTTCTTCCTCATCCTCTTCTGGAGGATCTGCAGGCAATGGCGCTGGCAAAGGTGTCTTCATTGGGCTAAACTGAGGAAATATATCTGGTCTTCGTCCTGGCTTAGGCCTTTCCCATTCCTATCAGTAGATATATTCAACAACCAATCAGCTCAAGGATAAAACTGCCACATGCTAGAAAGAGCAAGAGAGCAGACAATCTCACAAAGCTAAATCTACCCTGACTCTTGAATTTAACTATTTAACTAATGAGTTTATGCGTAACTGGATTATGGAAACAAGGTTAAGAAAAAAAAAAAATCTAAGAGAAGTTTTCTGGATAAATTGTCTTCTACCAAACTAAATTTTCTTCTATATACGATGGAACGACAAATAATCCTTAACAACGTTTAAAGAGTGGTGCTCGATATGAAACATCATTCTTTGCTTCTCATTGCTCCAAAATGTACATAAGGAAATAATAGTTTTCATCAAGATAATTTCTCACCCACAGAACACAAATGAAGTGCAAACATTAAAATCAAAAACTACAGAGGAAAAAATTCACCAATAAAACCTCCAAACCACACAACATGCAACATCATTCAGGTTTCTTGGACAACCCACAATATTATCTTTAGCTTCAATGTGAGAAATAATGAAAAGAAATACATTAATTCATCATTGTATAAGCTCCAATCTTTAGAGAGCGTGAATTTTAATTTCTTTGACATCATTCAGGAGTCTAAAGTGTAATCGCTCATGATAAACTTAATTTGATTACTTCATCCAAATTCATCTGAGACTAGTATTTGACAGCACTGATCAAACCTGAACTTCATAGAGTTAGGACTTTTTATTTAAACATGATAAATTCATCAAAGTACAGTACAAACTCCTGCTAATGAGATCATAATACTACACTTGGGCATTACAAGTCATTAACAGCTGCCATTTCAAGAATCTTTTTCTCTGTATTCAAAAGATTCAAGTGCCTTACAGCAATTAGGACATATGTCCAACACACTGATCTTCATAAGCTTACGTTCAAAAAATTATTACAGTAAGCAACATAAGATTAAACTAGAGTCCTATAAAAGATCACAAAATCCGCAGCCCACTCATGCCCAATTATTACCGAAAGCTGTTGAAAAAAGAAACCGCAAGAATTATCCCCAATCAGCAGCCAACGAAAGCTATAAAATAAATTCAAGCCATTAATTTCACGTTTTTCACGAAAATCATCCCAAAATTAAAACAAGATTTCTTGTTTAAGCCTGCACAAGTATTCCTCTTATTTTATTCCTCTTATCACATCAAAAGCCCAAAATCATATTCCTCTTCAATATCATATTTTATCAAACGGCAATTAAAGTATGACATCTTCAATCTTAGTAGCTGAAAATGGCAGAGGGTAGAATAAATCAATCATATCAAAAGAACAGTTCACCGCATCTTAAACGAATCACTACGAAAACAATCACTCATTAACATCAACATTTTCCACTCAATTCAGAAACCAGTCAATAAAAAGCGGAATTAATTCAACAAAAGAGTAAACACAATTATAAGGTGCAACAGACTTTCCCGAAGTAAGCGAAAGAATGTATAACCTTAAAAAAAAGGGGGGGGCTTACAATTGGAAAATCGAGAGGTGAGCGACGAGTCATCTTCTCTTCTTCCGGAGCCATACGAACGATGTGCCTCTGTAACCGACGGGTTGGGACGAGAAGAGTTGCAGAAAGGTGGTGGAGAGACGGAACGAACAAGAGAGAGGAACAAAGAAAAGGTCGACGAGTGAGGATCGAAGAGGAGGATTTGGGAAAAGAACACGATGTAGAAGAGAAAGACGAAGACGAAGGGAAAAGCGACGGAACTGTGGCTGAAGTAGACGGTAAGGGCATGTTCAGGCCGAGCAACGCCATGGATGCGGCTGAGTGGCTCTACTTCTGCGCTTTCGTTGAGGAACACAAATCCTTCGTTTATCTTGACGGATTCTCAATAACGGCGTCCACCTACCGTCCTTCTGGCTTGATGCTTCAACGCCATTAAGTCGGTTCATTTACCTAGTAATTTCCCCCGAAAAGTAACCGAGTCGGGTAACCCAGTCACAACTTGCCAAATGGGTTGAAACTTGAAAGTTGGTTTGGTGAACTTAGGCCATGTTTGGTGGTATTAAATTGGTAAGATAAAAATAAAATTAAAAATAAAATTTTAATTTAAGTATGATTGGTATATAAAAATTGCAATTCTTAAGAATCTCAATTCTATCAAAAATGCTAGAATCCAATTCCATTATATTGACCATAAAATTGCTTCAATTCCATTGAATTCAATTTGTGGACCTCATTATCTTTATCTTTTTTATCCATTTATAATAAAATAGGTTTTTTTAATTTAAAAAAAAGGATAATTTAGTCTTTTCTTATTTTAAGTACCTATATAAATTAATATTATATTAAAATTCTATCTTCATACCAAATACACTTTTAAAACTCAATTCTATTCCAATTCTGATTTCAATTCTGATTCCGATTTCGATTCTAATTTCATTAAAAACTCTTCCATCATACCAAACGAGGCCTTAGTGTGCATGTGGTTTTTAATTTATTAAAAATTTATTTAATAAAAATTAAGTATTGTAACGAAATTTATATTTAAATATATTTTTTAAAATTAATTTGATACATTTAAAGTTATTTGAGTTATGATAGTAAAATATACTTTTAAATATATAATTATCAAAAAATATATTAATTTATAATAATTTATAATTTTTATTATACAAATATAATATATTTAAAATATTTAAAAAATGTGATAAAGATTTTAAATAACATAAAATTTAATTTATAATGTTAAAAAATTGATATGTTATTATTTGTACTTTTTAATTTGTAATTTTAAAAAATGTAATAAAGATTTATAATTTTTAAATGCTAAAAATTAACATGATTAATTATTTAATTTATAATTTTAAAAACTTGATACTTAATTATTATTATTGAAATGATAATTATATTTTTAATAAATTAAATATTTTTTAAATAAAAGAATAAGAGATTAAATTTGGGATAGTATGGTCAAATAATATTTTACTTTTTAAATTTATTTTTTAAAAATTTTAAATAGTTATGTTTCTCAAATTCACTTTTAGCCACTGTTTAAATATACTTTCAGAATGTATTTTTTGGTAAAATATTTTACCCAAAAAACTTTTAATATCCTAAAAATAAAATTTTGCTTTATAAATATGAAATGCAAGCAAACCAAACGGGCCTTTAGTGAGTATTTAATTTTTAATTTGTCAAAAATCAGTTCAGTAAAAGTCACTTGTTATAAAAAAATTTATATTTGAATATATGTTTTCAAAAGATAATTTAATAAATTAAAAATTTTTTGAATTATAATTAATAAAATGTGCTTTTGAATGTACAATTATAAAAAAAATATTAATTTATAATAATTTATAATTTTTATTACACAAATATAATATATTTAAAATATTTTAAAAATTTGATAAAGATTTTAAATGACATAAAATTTGACCTATAATTCTAAAAATTTAATCTCTAATCATTTGACATTTTTAAATTTGTAATTTTAAAAATTATAACAAAGATTTATAATTTTTATTATAGATTAATGTTAAAAATTAACATGATTAATTAATTAATTTATAATGTTAAAAAATTAATATATAATTATTATTATTTAAATGATAATTATATTTTTAATGAATTAATTATTTTTTAAATAAAAAATAAAAAATTAAATTTATTGTAGTATGATGAAATAATATTTTATTTTTTAAATTTACTTTTTAAGAGTTTTATTATTTATTTTAAAGCACATCCAATCACATTTAAAAATAATTTTTTAAATAAACTTTTTAAAAAAATTAAAAATTAAATAATATTTAAATTTAAAATTTATTTCAAAAGTCTTTTAGGAAATGTGAAAACCAAGGGCGCCCTTAGGTTCTATTTCTCACATGAGGAGGAACGTGGGCTGTCAGGCTTGCCCAACACGCAATAGAATAACATTATTCTAAAAATAAAAATGACGGCAATGACAAATGATGATGACTTATGATTGGTAATTCGAACAACGAACCGAATTTATTTAAATCAAACTCAATTTAAATTAAGTTTATTTAAATTAAACTTAAAAAATTTTACTATTTTTGAAAAACTCATATAATCAAATTTAATCCTAACACCTTTAGACTTTAAGGTTATTTGGACCGTCCTGAATACTCAAAATTTTTTAAAAATATTTTTTTATTTTTTTATCAATTTTAATTTTAAAATAATTTTGTTAAACATAAAATATTATTTTAACTTTAAAATAATAATAATAATAATAATAATTTATTAACTTTATAATTAAGTAACTCTGTTACTATTATGTTGTATTATGTGTAATTCATTCATAAATATTTTTTTTATTTATAAATTAACGTCTTATTTATTTAAATATTGCTCTTATCATAGTTATATAAAAATATTTATATATTTTAATTAAATTATAATATTTTAATTATAATCAAGTTAATCTCAATTCAATCATGGTTGGACTACTAATTTAAAATTATTATCCTAATTAATTTAAATTTTTTAATAACTATTGAATAAACTGTGCTCTTTATTTTTAAGAATATAAAAAATAATTATTTAATTATGAGTAAAATACCATTTTTTAAAATTTTTTTCTAACTTTTCATATTGTTTAACCCTTATATATAAAAGGTATTTACTTTAATTTATTCTTAATTTTTTACTAAATATGGCATAGACAATAATCAAATAATTATTTAAAAATATTATTTTATTTATTATATTTATCTAATAGTAAAGTTAGGAATTTGTACGTGCTCAAATTTTATTTTAAATTATTTTTAATTTAAAATTAATTATTTTATTTTATAAAAAATATAAATATAATTTTTTGGATAAGAAAATGATGTATATGACTCAAAACATTTTTTTTGAAAAAAATTGAGTCTTAAAATATAAAAATAAATATTAAAATATATTTTAAATATTATTTTGAGATATTTTATTTAATTAAAAATAAAAAAATGAAAGTATTTTTATTTTTTTACTAATTATAGTAATGTATTCAAATATATGGTATTTTAGAATAAAATCATATAAAACTTAAAGAATTAATTAATATTTATTATATTATATATATTTTTTAAACTCACTTTCTTATTCAGGTATCCAGGTCAAGCTCAAACTTGATTAGAGTTGACTTTAATTTTTTTGAACCTATTCGAGCCACCCTAAATAAGCTCGAACATTAAAAATTATTTTTTTTTAGATTCGGGCTTATATTATTCAAACGAGTTTGGTTTAACCCAAATTACTAGCTATAAATGAGGTTTAAAATTTAAAAATTATTTTTTAGAAAAAAAATAGAATTGCAAATGGGTGAGTAAACAAAAAACATTAATCCCTTCAATTCAAAATATAACCATTTTATTCTTGTTAATCTTAATTTAAAATATAAATAATTTAATATTTATAAAAATTAACATTTTATTCTTTTTATTTATTAACGTGAACACTATATTTTATCTAAATATTTTTTTAATATAATAAAAATAATAATAAATTTAAACAAAAAATAAAAAAATAAAAAAATAAAATTTAATCCTTTTTAGGATTATATTTTCAAAACAAAAAAATTAATTAATAGAGTTTAATTTTATTTTAATCTAGATAATTTTTTATTAATTAGTATTCTATTTCTTCTAATTCATTAAAATAATCAAAAAATATAAAAATAAAATTTAATTCTTTTTAGGATTATATTTTAAAAAAAATAATATAACAAAATTAAAAAATATATCTTACTTAAATCTTGAAAAATTTCTTTTAAATTATCCTAATCATTCAAAAATATTGAAAATTAACTTTTGAAAGTTAACTCTTTTAAATTAATTTTAGAAATTAGCATGGTATTGAAAACTGGACCGGACCGGCCGGGTCAACCCGGAAACCGGTGAACCGGTCCCCTATCCGGTCTGGGTTTGCTCTTAACCCGGTAAGGGAGTAAACCGGTGTAACCCGGTCAACTCGGGTTCAACCCGGTATAACCCGGATAACCCGGTGGGTTGACTGGGTTAACCGGGTTAATATTTTTTCAGACTTTTACCCCAAAACATCGTTTTTTATTTTTTTTTTCATTTTTAATTTTTCAGAGCTCTGAGTTCGAAAAAAAGATAACAAAAAAAAGTGAAATTGAAGTCAAAAAATGAAAAATTAGAGATAGAGCATGCTAAGTCCAAAAATATAGTATGTTATTATTGTTAGACTTTTGAGTGATTGGATTTGGTTGAATATTTTTATAATTAATGTATTTTTATTTAAATTGTATTATTTTAATCATGATCGGTTTGCCACCGGTTCAACCCCCGGTTCAACCCCGATTGAACCACTAACCCGTGACCCAGTGCCATGACCGGTCCGGTTTTACGTACCTTGGAAATTAGATTAATAAAAAAAGAGTTATGATTTAAAAAAAAAAAAAGAGGTTAAGTTAAAACCCGATGGTTAAATGCTGGAAACCAGATCCAGCATCTAACCATCAGTTCAGCCTCTTCACCAGTCAAAACACACGAGCAGGTGTAAAAAAAAGAAGAAGCTTTTGGCCATACAGAGGAACCCACACGAAACACATGAATGAAGACCCTAAAAGCAAGCTGCAGCCACAAAGCAAACACAGCAGAGAGAAACGAGGTCAGACATGCAAGCGAAAGAGTAGAAGAGAGACGCATGCATATGCATGCACGAAGCTTTTCCTCTGAAAATGCATGCACGAAGAAGAGGAGAGCAAACTTTCAGCCATTACACACAATCTCTCTAATGTGTATGTACACAACACAACAAAAAAAAAAAAAGGAGGAGACGTGCATGGCAAGAGAAAGAGGGAGCTTCAATGATAAAACACAGAGCACTCATGTAAAGATTGGAGGAAGAGAAAAACTAGGTATTTTTGCTTCTACTTTGAGGACCG